ATTAAGCAAATGGACTTGCAAAATCTCAAATGTGGTGGAATTCTTTAGATCTCTCGCTGAGTCTACCACCAGCACCCAGATTCTCATCTAAATATTAAACCCATTTCTTGCCATATGCAGTATAGGTTTTGCAGCTTTTAATAGATTGATATAGAATATAGATAGAACCCTAATGATTTCTGGGTCACTCCATCAACCTAGGATCTTGAACCATGCTGACGACCTTATACAGAAAATCAACTCGATCACTGACAGCATCAACACTGTGAACACGGAAGGCATTGTTGAGGATGGCTACACACGAGAGCACCTGGGTTTTGACATGACCTGCGTGCGCACACACACACATGCCCTCTGATCGTTTAGCTCAGGCACCAGGATCGGTTGAAATTACTCTATAAAGACGCTCGCAAGCAGTGCCTTGTCCTGCACATGGATGTAGTGCTAGCTCTCCGTCTTTGCCAATCTTGGTTCCATTGCCATGTGTGGATCAAACAGTGGGTCTGATCATACAGTGGGTCTGAGTACAAACCTTAATTGCAGGGTATCCGCAAAGCTGATGCAACTTTGTGTGGCATATCACATGAACTCTTCATGGAATAAAGACACTATACTGGTGCCCTGGAGTGCCGATTCAGAAACAGTGTGCTAGCTTCCTTGCGCAATGGATGATGGTGACGATGATGATTTCTTGATAGAACTTCTCACCTACACAGATCCCTATACTGGACACAAACGGTGTGCAGCACAAGCATCCTTGCAAGCAGAAAGTTATCCCGAGAAGCTGCTAAACTAATGAACCAAGTTTTTATTTGGACTTGCTTGTACTCAAGTATGCCCTTTTACTCAAAACCCTTTTTACTCAACACCCCGCACTATGCAAGGACACGTCGGCCCAGCAAATCTCCTTCTCTGCCCACTGTGCACCATAGAGAAATCCATGATCTTGTGCAACTGGATGAAGCGTGTCTGCAGCGCAGAAACGTTTTGACAGCTAACCCCAGGTTCATTTGTTTGGCCCTCTATTTCTGCTCAAACTCAAATTGGCACAAGGATAGCCAGCGTAAAGCAGTACTTGCGCTTCTACATGATCTTGCCCATGCTTCTTTTGTGGACCCACCGTGGGAAGAGTTGCAGCGCTGTTTGATCTACAAGCACATCCCAAGCAACCTCACTCCGTTCACAACATGCGGCAAAATACTTGCACACTCAAGGCAAAAGGTTACTGCGTTCAGAGAATACCTTGGCATCAATGTTGCTGTGTTCAAAATCGGTGTCACTGGAAATCCGGCACAACGTTTCGAGCAGTATTTGAAGGTCAACTTTACAATGATGTGGGTCATCTTCAAAAGTAATGACCTGAGCATAGTGCATATGCTAGAAGCCAGTCTTATTGCTTTGTTCAACGACTGCACGGGTTGCAGAAACGCACCCAACACGGGTGGTGAAGGGGCACTGAACAGAAGGAGAAGTCCAGACCCCCCCTTTTTTTGTTTATGTTGTAGGTGGCCGCGCTGACCAACTAAAGAAAGTTGGTTGACACTAGCTATAATTCGTAAGTAGTTCGTTGGATACAATGAACGCAAGGGTTAAAACATGGTTGCTTCAAGTTTATTTGTTGTCACTTTGGTTTGGACCAGCCTTGTTGGCAACATACATCTGCTGCCCGATTCAAGGTGTGCCCAGGCGCTGAACCTTGTCACGCGGACACAGCTGGGAGCTTGGAGATTTTTGGTGAATTCCAGCTGTGATGTTTGTTTGGCACTACCAAGCTTTGACACATTTTACATGTCTGAAGATTTGTGAGTGAGAAGGTTTTGTCATGCAAGCAAATAGTTCAATTATCTTTTGCTTGAGGCCGATGATCAGCCACATCAAGTCGAAGTGGAACAAGGAGCGTCGTGAAAGGGAGAAGGTTGAGGCTGAGGGCGAAACACCTTCTGGGGGTAGGGCCAGGGCCAGGTCTGTGAAGGCAGAGCCCCGGTCCCGGAGAACCTAAATCTTTAACACTGTGCGGTGATGGAATCTATAGGAACCTCCCTGAACTTAGACACCCCACAAATAAACCGTTCAACATTCCACTCAGTCATAAAGGTTGGTTTGCGTTCAACTTTATTTCATGTGTCTTTTCTTGACCAGTTGTTTGTCCGCCACACGGTGAAATCTCTTTTAGGGGATGCAAGGTATACAACACTACCTTGCCATGTGGGTGTCAACATCCGCTTCTAGAAGTGGTCCTGCAAGAGCCGGACCTGGAGCAAAGTACATTAGCCTGGGTTCTGATCGCGCTCTGAGAACAAAAGCGGTCCGTAAGAAGCTTCGTCAGGCAAGATCCGGCTTTACTCTTTACACTGCTCTACTGTAAGATGCACCATTGGTTCCAACCTTTTGTCTCTTCACACCACCTGGCGCGCATCCATGCCAGGTGATGTGAAGAAGTCCGACTCAGCAGGGCCTCTGGTGGAATACGTGGTTGAAACAATAGCTGATGGAGTTTCCCGTCTGCATCAAAGGACAAATTGAAACCAACTGTTGAGTTTCCCTGAGATTTCCCATGGAAAAGAATCTTCCCAAGGCTCCTGCAAAACGGTTTGCAGAGCAAGGGGATGCTTTGCAACTGGAACTTGGAGCTTCAACGTCGCTGTTGCATTCTTCTACCAAGTCGGTTGTGAAGGGATCCATTAAGAATGCTTCAAGACAATATCAAAGAGCTGTGAAACGTTTCAAAATGGCTCTGATTTCTGGAGTTGTTTGAACAAGATTTGAACTGGTTGCTGTTCCTTCCACACTTATTTTGGTCTCTTGTAGTTTTTGTCCTCCTGTCAATGCTCTTCCTGGATCCTCCCTCTCCTAAGGAACATCCCCACATCGGTACACGTCCACCGGGAAGGTGGCCATGTCGTCGAGATGCCATATCTTCGTCCAAGCGACATATTGAAGACATTGTTGCGAGAAGATCCCTGGCTGCTGCTTGGTGGATTGGATCCAGGGCAGGATGCGCATGCATTGCTGAGAAGCTTCTGGAGAACCTACCGGATCCAACAACCCACCCATAAGATTTTTGAGATGGCTGACAGAAATGAAATTGATTTGGATTGGACGGTGCCTATGATGATGCATGGGGATGGTGCCCGAACAGTCAAAAAGCAGCCGCTTGAGGTGGTTTCTTTAATTGCCGTTCTTGGACTCAATACAAAGCAAGATTTGGAATGCAAGTGTCCCCGGCCGTTTTGCTACTCCAAAGATTTTTTCCATCCAGGATCCCATGCTGCAAAAGCTGAACAACTCTCACAGTTCCTATCTCCATCACTTTCTGCTATTCTGCTTTCCGTCCAAGAAGTACAAAGAAACACCAGGCCTCCTCAAGGCCATGCTTCGCCAGGTGTCGCACGAAATTGCAACATGCTGTCGTCAAGGTGTTACAGTTCCAGGACATGAAAAAACAGTGGCACATTGGAATAATTGGACTCCGAGGTGATGCAGAGTGGCACAGTAAAACTGGTGTGCTGAACAGGAGCTACCAAAATGTTGGAACAAAGAACGAGATTCCTTGTTGCCACCTTTGCATGGCAGGGGGGTGTGGGGGTTCCTTTTGAATCCTTTCGCAGTGATGCTGCATGGATGCAAACCCTGGACGCTAGAGTTCCCTGGACTGAAGCGCCTCCATACGAGGAGATTCCGTTTGAAACGGATTGGAGCCATGGTGCTGCAGCAAATTTCTTCCGGTACGATCCCTTCCATGTGTTCCGGTTAGGGATAGCACGGAACTTTTGTGCCTCCTCTATCATCATGTTTTGCAACAGTGGTTTGTATGACTCACCTGGTGATGATTCTTCAGTTGTTGGAAGATTGAAGCGTGCTTGGGCCTCATTTTCCTTGTGGTGTGCAGCCCACGACAAGAATCCAGCATCTATGCGGTCGTTCTCGAAAGAGAAGTTACATTACAGCACAACAACTTCCTACCCTTTTGTCTCGTGCAAGGGTAGTGACACTGTACTTCTACTGTCATATCTTCAATGGTTCGCTGGACTTCAGATTGTCAGTGGCAATGGCAGTGAAGAGGTGCGGCTTGTCAAGCTGGGGTGTGATCAAGGGCTAAACTTTGGAGGTATTCATCGCCATGGTTTGTGGCTCAGTCCTGGGTGCAGGGATCATCTATACCGATCTGTCAAAGGGTTTTGTCACACCTACAGTCGCCTAGCATCTCACGCTTTTGGACGTCAAATGACATTGTTTGGGCTTGTCCCAAAAGCCCATGCTTTGGGACACCTCTACTTTGACTTGGAAAGGGCTTGGCAACATTCCTACTGTATCAACCCTGCTGTTTGGGACACATCATCTTCTGAAGACTTTGTAGGCAAGATTGGGAAGCAATCAAGGCGGATAGGCTACCGGCACATCGTCCACAATACTGTGCTTGCTTACAAAATTAAAGCGAGATTCGTGATTAGCAAGTTCAAGAAGGCCAAACGGATGGGACTCTGATTTGTGGATGTGGTGCAGAGTGTGGGCAAGAAAGGTGTGCTTGGGGAGGGTGTAGGGTACAAAGACAGTGGTGAGACACAAACAAGAGCAGAACCAAGCCAAGTTGTTTGTCCTCCTGCTCGCAGTTCACATGATCCACCACCAACTGAAGAATCATCACCAGATGTCATGTTCTATTCGGTTGAGGCTGTGTTGTGTGCAATGCTTTATGTTATCAATGCTTTTGTTCACAACTGGAATTAGCCAGGGGCAGAAATCTGTGTAAGGGTCTGAAATCGATTTGAGGGGTTGAAATAAGAGCTCAAAACCAGAGGGTCTAAAAAAAAGACCATGGCGGAAGATTGAGGTAAAAATAACACCTGCAGTGTCCCATAACTCTGCTTAGCCAGTAGATACAATTGTTTCGCCACAAAATGCCACAAATCAACAACTTCAGTGAACTTCAGTGACCAGTGAACTCGCATCTTGGTGGATCAACCGTTTCCAGTGATGCGCAGCGGCCAACTTGTCGACGCCTGAAGTTGTGGAACTGTGCAGAGGCATCAGGGAAAGATTGGAAGAAATCGATGGCATCGCGCTGTCCATAAAATGCCTCGGACGTGGTCAGTCAAGCCTGCCTGCCACCCACCAGAGGTGGTAGCAAAGGATCTATGAATCTAGTAACGAATCATAATGAATTTCTCTTTCTCTCTCTCTCTCTCTCTCTCCCGCGGCATAATCATAATGAATCTATTCATCAGTCACCATGTTGAACAACGTCGAACCACGTCCACCTTAACAAGTCCACCTCCCACCGGGTCCTTTTTTTCAAGGCACCTTCTTGTCCAACGGCCCGATGTATGGCCCCACAAAACGAAAGTTCTCCGCCAGCAAGGTGCCGTCCCCAGAAAAGATCTTCTCCGGCGCCTCTGAGACCAGGAACTTTTTGGTGAGCTGTAGGAGCTCCTGACGATCCCCTGGTTCCGATGGCCCAAAAGACTTCAAAGCGAGTGTAGCCTCCAACCTAGGAGCAAGGACGCTACTAGGAGCAAAGGGCATCGCTACTAGGGACTCCTGGCCCTACTACTAGGAGCAAGGACGCAACTAGGAGCAAAGGGCATCGCTACTAGGGGCTCCTGGCCCTACTACT